AGAATAAACTTCAAATTAATCAAATGTAAAAAATTTAAGATTTTTACTGAAAAAGAATCAAATGTTTTTTAAATAATATTATACATAAACATCTACTCTTTAAAATTTAATTTTGATCAATTCATTTTTCTAAAACAAAAAGAATTAAATTTATTAATATCTCAATAAAATTAATAGTCATTAGATTTTTTACACAGTCCTGTATTGTTTTTCTACAACAATTCTTTGTGTAATGAATTTAGCTTAGAGACTACAAGACTTTTGTGTATTGAAAGAATATATTTACATTTATTCCACACACTTTTAATGTTCTAAGTATGAATATCATTATTAAAATTTAGAAAAGATTTACAGTAAAATACACTAATCACAAACTATTATTGCTAATACATCCATGTGCACGCCATTCATAGAAAGTATTATATTACTAAGTAAACAAACTCTTTTAATGATTGGTAAAGACGTGTGACGGTTCTATTAGCTACGACATGCATTGAGATTACAGTCTTTATGAATGACACATCTGCCAAACCAAATACACATCTCTATTTTTCTAACAATCTGCAGCGAAAGTATTTTGTTGGTTTATAAATAAACTTTATATATTTGAACAACTATATCATTATATAAGAGACAAAGTAAATTTTTTGTAGCATGTTTTAAATACTACTTTCGGAAAATATCGCTTGTTTTTATAATTATCTTTCTTTCTATTTTTATCTCTGAGCATATCTGTACTTGAGTTTAGTTGTTAAAATATTTATAATAACCTATAGTATATTACTTAGAAGCATATTGAAACTAGATTTTAATAACTCGATGCGAATAAAAATGTATTTACTTTAGTTAGCATATTTATTGTAGAAGTACCTAACCACAACCCTGTTTTTATTTCTAGAGAATGATTTTGTTGACAAGATACGAACTTCACATACCTTTTTATAACATCATTGGTTTATAAAAACCCATCTAAGTTTTAATAAGGTCTACATAAAAGTAGTTTTAATACTCTATTACACCAATAATTCATAAGTTAAAGACATTATTTTGTTTTTTAAGAATCTTTTCTTCGATTTAAAAAATGAGTTTATCCTAAATAATTGCTTAAACAATTTCAATATTTTCAACCTTGTTAAACAATTAATATTTGTAAACTAAGAACAACAATTTTTATATTCAAAATTATAATTCATAAACTTTTCAAGAAAACTTCAACCCTTAATTAAAAAAATAACCTATTCTTTTAAATTCAAACATAATTGTTTATTATTTATCACTATATAAAATAAACTTCTAATAATCATATTATTTCCAAGTATGTTTTATATAAACCACATCTTTTAAAATTAAGATTAAAAAATCTAAAGTTTTACAATTTAATTGATAAAGATTATCTATTTTCTCATTGTTAATACATTACAATTAATATTTTTTCATAATTTAGTTTCATTTTTTAAATTGTTTATTTTTTGATTTTAAAATAAAAAGTAAAATGAGTTATAAAATTATTAAAACACTATTTATAAATTGATCAATTGATTTTAAACAATAATTTTTAAAATCTTAAATAGCTAATATATTCATTATTATTTCTTGAGTAATTCAAAGCTTAATTTCCTTTAAATATTTGACAAATTAATTTGTTACGTCGAGGTTTATTTAAGAAAATTTGTTTTTATAACAAAAAATACCAATAATCTAACAATTGTTTTTAATTAAATTTATTAACAAAAACATCTAATTATTAATAATATTAGACTGGTTGTAGTTTCCATTAAATATTCTTCTAGCTAAAAATAAATTCAATTTTAAATAAATATGATGCCATGGATTAAATACGAAATTTTCTTTTTTAGCCTTTTCAGTTTTATCAGGATAAAGAATCGTCATTATCATTTGAAAATAATCAAATTTTCGAATATCTGAATTTGCAAATCTTTTTACATTGGTCTTAATTAGATTTTTAAAATGATCAATTTCTGGTATTTGATCTAAAAATTTCCTTGATGGCGTATTTCTAAAATTTTTAAGCATAAAACCATAAAATCGTTTTTTTAAAGCATAATAATTTTCCGTTTTTTTATTATTAAATAGATTTTTTAAAAATGAATTAGCAGTTAAACGTGTAAAATTATAATAATAATCACATAATAAATCATGAATGTTACAATCATAATCCATTTTACTATCATCAGATGATAAGTTCAAACAAAAATTTATAATCTGACTTAGTTGTTTAGCAAGTAATAATTTTACATTCTCAACTATATCACTTGAATTTATATTTTTTGATAAAAAATTTTCATTTACAAATGATTTTGTTGTTGTTTCAAATCTATCAATTTCATTTAAGATCTCGTTTTTATAATTTGAAATAAAATATGAATAAAAATTATCTTTAAATTCCTTAGTGAGTAAATTGTTAATCATTTTTGCTTCTTCGTAATTCAAACCAATTGGACAATAAATAGTTCCAGTATTGTTACAACTAATTATATTAGATTTATAACAAAGTAACAAATCATATGTTCCATAGTAAAGTATTCTAGCTTCATGATAATGAATTGGTATAAATTTTTCATCAAAAATTGATTCAAATTCTAGACAGAAGTTCATTGCTGTTTCTAAATCTTCATGTTCTTTATTTTCTAAAATATCAATTACTTCAATTTTTAAAGGATTAACTGATTCATCTTTTTTTTTATTCACTACATCGACTTCTATATTTTCTTGCGAGCTATTAAATACTTCAATTTCTAAATGATTAGTTAATTCATTTTCTTCATCTTCAATTACTTCAACTGATATACTTTCATCATTTATTCCACCATTTACATTTAAAATATAATTTAAGTGATCAGTAATCGTCATAGACACACGTCTCATCCTAATTAAAGTGTTAATGTAGTTACTTAATCCTATAAAATAAATCATTTGAATAATCATAATAATAAGGGTAAAATTTTCAATTAATTTAAAAAAATAAACTTTAAATTAATTTAGTTGAAGTATAGAAAAAATCAGATTAGTTTTTAAATTTTTATAGCTTTTAATAAACCAAAAATTGTATAAAATAATTATTTGATAAAAAATTTTTATAAAAATTTTATTGTAATTTTATTTATTTGTAAGTTATTCTATGATATTTTATTCGTTTAAATTTATAAAAGATTAAGAATAGAAAAGAATAATTGTTTTATTAAATATTAATATAAGTTAAATAAATATATGATAGTGATTTGTAAAATAAATAATTTAAGATAAAAATTAGTTTAAACAGTTATTAAAAAAATGATTGAAAAAATAAATTAATAGTTTATAATATTAAAAAATAATCATTTTATTAAAATATTTATTCTTTATTATTAAAATTGCTATAAAAATACAAATACCGAGTTCTGTTAAATTTTAATTAATTAATTTTTTTATCATAATTATTAGAAATTTTTAATCATTAAATAACTAACTATAAATTATAAATATTTTAATTTATTTTAATATTCAATAAACATGTTATTTTTATTAATAAAAATTTTATAAAAACACGATTTAGTTTCTTTCATTATTTTTTTTATTTTAAAATCTTATTCAATTAAAACATTTTTAAATAAGAAAGTAATTTGATTTATTTAAAGAGTTAACATAATTTGAATTAAATTCAGAATAGAATAAAGATATGATTTTGTATTATTACGACCTCTACTACTTCTTGTACTAGTTCTACTTCTAGTCTGTCTATCATCACCTCTTTCATTTTGTCTAGGCATATCTTTATTCACTTTATCTACTAGTTTCTTCTTATCTTCTTTTTTTATAGAAGGGTTTGCATCTAAAGAAACTACCTTAGTAATACCGGTTATATAATTTTGAATAAACATAAGGGTAAGTATTTTACTGATTAAATAAAAATTTTTTGCATGACAAACAAAATATAAAAAAATTTGTTTCTTTTCTATAAAATAAAAATTTTAATAAAATAGTAAGCATAACACCACTTATAGTAATATTACTAAACTGGGCACTAAAGTTTATATATGAACAGATGTCTCTTAAAGAATGATAGTTACCATTATCAATTATCATTATTTTAATACCTCTCTCAATATCATAGGGATATTCAAATATCCTGCCTATACTCTTTATATGTTCAAAGTCTATTGAATTGTATTTACTGTAAATTAAATAGTATTTATTTTCATAGTTATGAACAAGTGTGTTATTTAAAGGATTAATAAAATTAAACGAGTATTTAGGAATAACAACACCAGTAACATTATCAACACTAAAGTAAGATAAACAAGGTTTTTGACTGTAATGAATAGTCAATGAACTGATACTTTTAATGAAAGCAAATATTAATAAAATACTTTTCATAGAAGGGTAAAGATAAATTTTATTTAAATACTTGACTAAAAGCATCATCTTCATCAGAATCTCCAAATAATGTATTTATCTTTTGCTTTTGAGCAGGTGTAATTGTATTTGAATTATCACTTTTCAATATTAAATCATCTTTTTCATCAAATAACTCTTTAAATTTATTAGTCATCATTTTAACATTATTATTTCTCTCTTCATTGTCTGTTAAAATATTTTTAAATTGATTATCATTTAATTCATTAATATTTGATTGTTTTATTAGTTGATTATTAGTTGATTCATTATTAAATTGATTATCATAAATATTGCTATCTAATTGAGTATTTGATTCATTATTAAGTTGA